CAAGCTGGTACTGCTTTTTGCTGGCCAACAAAGAGCTTATTATACATAGGGTCTATAACCTCATTACACAGTATCAACACACCACTTGTTCATTTGGAGGTACTGTATTTCCTTCTGCTACATACAAGCATGCAGTCTACTGTCCCTAAGCTCACTCTGGCCAACATTTGATAACTCTCCATGGAACATCAGTTCACTGGCTGCACAGGTAAAAACAGACTTATAATTTTAACAGAGCATCCAACTGAATGCCAATAACAGAAATGAGATCAAATGAGATACAACTGGAGATTTGCCTCTTTTCTCACATCTAGTCTTTAGCGGTTGTTAGAATGAAGTCATTATTCATTGGCCAGATAGGCTGTCTTACTTGGACGGCCAGATTTACTGTGAGATCTACCAGAAGTCTCTCTTTTCCTGTATGAATCGGAAACTCGATCATTCATCTTTATACAAGTAGTTACCAAGTTCAACCCAGTTCCTAGAAATTTGAGCTCACCAAATCTTTTGGTGCAAGCTGTATGATATGCTCCCCCCATTACTAGTGAAGCCTATCTTGGGTTTTGTTAGCTTTCTGAAGCTGTATTGGCTGACTTATCATTGTTATTGACTCTCCTGCACCTGCTGAGCCATTGGTTAAAACCAATAGCATTTTCTCCATTGCTGCTCAGTAAATTATGCACAGTTCATTGAAAGAGGCCCAAAATACCACACCTAAAACATACACTTTGTTTTTCTCTTCCATAGTAATGTCTGGATGGAGGAATCATCGGTATAGGCTATTACATAAAAACCATGAAAGGACAAGGATAATTCTGCTGGCCACTGGAAATCAGTATTGATTGTGTTGCACTGCTGGAATATGTGGGTGGATGGTTAGCCCTCAGCATGGCTCAAGCTCGATGTGGTAGATGTGCCTGGGTAGAACTGTCCATCTAAGGTGTAGCCACCACAAGCTTCTTCCTCTAGTGTTTATCTGAAGTTAACACTTTGTATCAAGACATAAATTGCTTCTGTAAGAGTGTTAGTATCTCTCATACACAGGTGATACGTCACAGTTTTACCTGAAAGTCCCTTGATGAATTTATCCATCATAATGTCTTCACAATCTGCAGAAGCTATAACAGGGCATGTCTTGCCATGCAAACAGTGCAGATCATTTACAAAAGTGGCTAGATTCTCAGTGGTGCTCTCTTCCAAAACTAACTCAGTTTAAGGGATTGCTCGATTTTCCAATGGGTCGAATTATCAGCACAAATATGTCATTAATGTATTGGTATTGGACTGCCTGCTCCCGAGACAGTCATTCCAAGCAGTTACCTGCCTGTATAACTTCCGGAAATGGCCCCTATGCAAAATCCACTTTGTATTACTCATAGAGTCCTGTGGTTGTGGCCAGAGCCTTGCCCTTGCTGGCTATTGGTCAACACCTGGCTAAGATGCTGCCAGCTTTGTAGGTAAGATACAGAAGATGTACTCAGGGACCAATCCTCAGATGAGTAGTCACCAGTTGGGTCTTATCCAAGATGGCAGAGTGACGAGTTGCTCTCAGCAGCTGGTTATCAGCTCTACACGACCTCGGTTATCTTTGTAATCCATGCTTTTTCTACCAGTTGGAGCCTGCTATTTCGCCTACCGGGGAAACAGCTCTAACAAATAGAAATCGTCCACCAGCAGCACTTCCAGTCCTTCTTGACCAGTTCTGTGGTCTTAACTGTCTGGGAGACAGACCAATCCATATGGTCTCAGACTTGCCAGTTGCCATTCCACCCTAGTGACTCTAAGCCTTCTGTGCTTCCCTCATGCTAAAATCGATTCTGAGAGTAACATTCAATTTGCAGTTTGGGGTGCAACAGATGTTAACTGATCTTCTTGAGTCTGTGGCTGCAAAGAGATCAGAATCATGGACCATCATAGCATTGATGAAAGATTGACATCCAGGAGAGGACTTTTCCTAGATCCTATAACTCTTTCATATAACATATCTCTTCAGTGACTAACTCTCCTTCTCAGTTCTGAGTACTTCTATACTTGCAGAAAATGTCATTCTTTAAGCAAGAAGTACTTCTTTAAACTCTATAGCATAATAGTTTAAGTCAATAGCAATAAACACATAAGAAGCAAACAGAAAACTCCGCAGTAATATCGTGGTTTCAACATCAAAATTTTCTCCTTCCTAACTACCCTGTGGCATTCACATGTGAAACTGCCCCCCCCCTCCAAGAATGAATAAGATAGTTCAGCCATGTAATGGGGTTTCAGCGTTATATTGTAACGTAATACTGACTTCAGCGAAAACTATCTGAATCTCTGCTAAGAAATAAATTGACAGGACACAAGTGTGGAAGAAACAATGTGTGTAGTAGCTTTGAAAGTTGGACAGTCACCTTTACTAGAGATATAGACTGACCAAACTGACGTCATCCCCTCAAAACTTATTTCAGGCTGACCAACTCACCATCTCACTTGAACTTTTGTTCCAGTGATTAAACCTTACGTTACTTAGTTAAAACTGAAACGTCAGACTTACCCGGAACGACTAGTGATACCCACATGCTGATCATTTCCTCGAGCTATTACCTAACTTCATTAGAGCATACATCTGTCTACTTTCATATACAAGATGCAACCTTGCACCTATACTCTTCATGGGCAGACCAGTTGTTACTTGAAAAGAACGATAAAGAACAAAGGAAGTTAGCGTGAAAACAGCTGAACGATTTTCTTGACCATGTACTATGCACATGCACCCGTATAACAGATTTTTTTTTACCTTCCAATATTAAAATAAGGAAAAAAATACGATACAAAATACCACACAATTTTGATCTTTCATTACTGCAAAATAACTTCTAGAAATTTAAGACCTGCTACATTTTATAGGAGAAAATACAATAATTTAATCGTTTTTCGGGTATGATTAAAAAGTAAACTGTTGTTTTAGTTTCACTAATAGGGAGTTTGATAAATCTATACTGAAAATATCATAAATTGTTTGATTCATAGTAGATGTGTTTGTCGAAATACTCTGTAAAGACCTTAGAAACAACATTGCTTAAACAATAAAAAACTTCACTAGAAGACTACCAGACAGTACCAGTAAAATAGAAACTTTACATTAAGTGTTAAGAACCTAGTCTTGAAATTAACATATTTCTAACGCCCCAAATAGACACTATAAGTTTGTATTGAATCTTTCTTTACTTTTATTAAACTAACACAATCACTGGAGAAAAAACAAACAAACAACCTTTACCATCACTTTCCATTAATAAATGCTTTGTAATTTTCCTGTTTAAAAATTATTATACATAAAAGTGTGTTTTTAATGCAAAGCTGCATTGGGTATCTGCTCTTTCTACCGAGGGGAGGTGAACCCCTGACTTTTAGCGTTGTAAATCCATAGACGTACCGCTGTCCCTCCTTGAGAGTAGACATAAAAGCAAACTATTAATGTCTTATAATTAGAGATGCAGATAATATTCTTGAGGACATTCTGTTAATCATTATAAACTTGAGTGTTTCTCTCACTGCATAACTTTGCTATAAAAATAGTAACAGAAAATAAGCCACTGTCTTTTTTTAAAAAAAGATAATTCTAGCAGGATTGAATCCAGGGGGAGGAGAGAATAAAGGGGTTCCAAGCCTCCCAAGACGAAATTTGAGCATATCAAAACATATTTAAGGATTTAAGGAAGCACTGACCTTTAAAACTGGGCAAATTTACATGCTGAGGAAACACTGTTAAACGCTTCTTGTAACCTTCAAGTTGAGCAAAAAATGAAATTCTGATGTCGCTATCTTTGAAATTAGTGATATATGTCATATGTATAATTAATGAGGCAGGGATAAAGAAATACATAACATCAACTGTTTTAAAACCATAACTTTACTTAGGAATGATAAAAACATTTCAAAATTCATACACATGCTCTTTGTGAACATCCTCATAGCTTGAAAAAATTTGCAAATTTTATGCAATGTTATCGAGCTATGGACAATTAATTTTAATTAATGGCTTCGTTAGTGGTAATTAGACTTACAACAAAACAATTGGTAAAGATTTTTGAATTTTAAAAATATGAATCAACTTGATTATTACAACCAATACTACGGTTAGCCCTTCCCTTCGGCTCCAGTCCTAAATTACCTCTTTTTAGTCTATAGTAATTTAAATCATCACCATCTTCCCAGTATTTATTAACCCTCAAGTTACGAGTTGTTTACGCAGCTTTCACTACCAGTCGGGACAATATATTGTACCATCTTATGTAATTGTATGTTTTTGACTTCCACGCCATTCAGTGCAAAGAACTGATAAAATTGCGTGAAATCGTTCATTTTCTATGCAAAACATAAAAGAAATTGGACAAATAATAACTGGGATTAACTACAATACTCATGGTATTTTATTTGACATTTTTGTGACTCATATACAGGAGTGTAGCCAGCACTAAAGAGTACCAAGAGGGGGCTGTCGAAAGATGTGAATATTTTCTTCTACACATAGAATTCAAGTGATTTACAGGAAAGTTAACTATTTTTTTAAAAATATTACAAAATAGTGGACTTTTTAGAAGTTTTGAATGTTCGACTCCTCCCAACTAGGCCTCTGATATGTTATTGAATACCTTGAATCATATATCTACAATTAATTTGGTGCATAAAGTTGAGAAAAACGCGATCAAAAAGTGTAATCCTATGAGTAAGGGACAACCTTCTTCCGTTTCTTCATTCGCTACCGTACCGTTTTATTTCATAGAAATTATAAGACTGTGCTTATTATAGTTGAAAAAATATTACGATACATTCACACACCTGACAACAGAACGGTTAAAATGATTCTGAATACAGCAATGAAAAGTATTTTGTGAGTATCACGCACGGCATGGAAGTATTGCTAATTCCGTTATAGTGCCCCATTGGCTAGCGTACATCACGTGCCATAGAAATAACGAAAGAGAACGATAAGTCTATGCAGGTATCCAGTATCTTATCTTACTTATAGTCACGCCTCTCCGAGAAGGTAGTATTTGTACGCAGAACTTGTGAGTGCTGCTTGGTTAGAGTGGTTTCTATTACTAGTTGTAAACTATTAATCCGAGTGCATAAGGATTCACTGAAATGTAGATAAAACTAAAAGGTTAAGGGAAAGTAAGTAAAACTTCCTTATACTATTATAAGCGTCTGGATCTTTATTGCTCTTCATGCGACATATTAGTTAGATATTTGGCAAGCCTCGTTAGAGTTAGGGCTAAGTTTAAAATCCTTATGCCATGATCAGTATTAAACGTTATAGTGGTATTAAATTCTGCGGAAAATACTAATAGTAAAATTATTAGTAATAGCCTTGGAAATGATAAAAACTCGGACAGTCGCAAAATTCAATTTAATGCCTGATTATTACTTTGTTGAAGTAGAATTGTTCAAAAGCATAAAAAAAACGTTCAAGTTTCCATATGGGTTATCAGCTGAAACACTTTGAAATAATTTTACTATTTTTTAGAATACATTACTACAGTACAGAACACTAGATTGTAGTTTTAATCTTACTCAACTTCTTAACACCCTTATTTATAAAATTTATATAAATATCTCATTATTTTGGTTTTCTAATTAATATTAACAATTTTCACTATCGAGGTACTTGTGATTCTTAGTTTAAGTGTTCAAAAATTAAAATTTGAATTTATTCACGAACTAAAAACGTAAGATTAGTGCGAATAGAGCGTTTATTGCAAGCCTACTGAATTGTTTTAACTTAACAAGATTTTGTACTTTTTTCTTGAACTTTTCGACTGTTAAAATTTCTATATTTTTGGATTGAAATGGGTTAGATTGACTAAACTGAATGTTAACGTAACTCATGTACTACAGTTTTAACATTTGAAGGTATTGACCTCGGTTAATTCTAAGAACCCGAAATAATTAGAAATCCTTATTGAGTAACGTAACTCCCCTTTCCCCCAGATAACTTATTATCGGATTTTCACCGTAATAATAATAATGTAATCTCGATTAATGTTATAAGTATTGAATGTTTTTGTAGGTTATCGTATGGCAAATTTATTTAACTTTAAGTAACTTCCAGTTATATTAATGAATAATCATGCTATTATAATAAAAAAATAATAATAATTTGTAGAAGAGTATTAGAGAAAAAAATATCGCTAAATAAAAAAAGCTATGTAGGGCTGGTTACTGAACTTGAAAAAAGGAGACAAACAAGATAGGGATGGAACTAGACATATGATTACTTATTACTTGATCCAGCTAATGATCATTTTGTCTGTCGAAAACTTGGTGTTTGAATAAAATCTCGGCTTTCATCATCATACCTGTCTTGCAGTTAACTTTAGAATACTACTTTTATGACTATTTTACAATAGAATAACATTTTACGATTAGAAATTCTGGTTCTATTTGTTTTGCCATTGATGTAGGGATTTTATTCTCCATGTAAAGTCGCGACAGCTTAGTGTGTTATGTGATCATTAGCCGGATCAAGTGATATGTCCACTTCCATCTCTATCTTGTTTGATTCCTTTTTTCAAGTTAGTAGCCAGCCCTACTTAGCTTTATTTATTTAACGATATTTTTTTTCCCTAATACCTGTTTGTTTACTTTTTAATAAGATGGCGTACGTAAGTTTACTAAATTATAATGTATTCTAAAGCTTTATAAATTTTGCATATAATAATAAAATAGGTAGTAAACGATCATGAAGACTGTCAAATGATGATAAAATTATAGTTACAGCTAGAATTAGGTAGGCGCTTGGCCTGTTGAAGAAAGATGAACGAAAATAAGTAATCTGTTTTGGTTATTCGCCGGTTTTCGACTTTTTGCTGCTCTGGGTAGCTGAAAAGCGGCATATACACCGGGAATAGAGCTAACTTCTGATGAACTGTAGTGACGAAAATCCAGATGACTCTGGCGCAGTCTCCGAAAATGTTTTCTAAAGTTTCAAGTTTACATGGATTTACTTTGTTACGACACCTTACCAGCCGCTGTTGTTCGTAATCAAAACGAAATTATTTAGATTATTACATTACATTGTACTATATTCGGATATATTATACATCTGTAGTCGTCAAACATTCAACAAATATGGTGTTTAAGTTATGGATATTTAAGACCTCCGTTTTAAGATTACACTAAGGTAGGGACTTTGTTGAATGTTCATGAAACTAATGATGATATTTTACAGTATTTATCTTGCGATAACGATGTGGGAAACGTATTTAGATTAAAATGCAGAACAGTATCCGTTTTTCAGTTCGTTTAACAAAATACTAATTACTATGTAAGTGAAACAATAAACTTTTTTTCAATACGCTGGGTAGAAGTTAATGGCGATAAATAGTCAAACTATTGTCGATATGTGTTCGCTACTGAGTACATTTCCTGCAACATGATGATGCCAAGGCCCATAATGCTTTTCGTATAATGACCGCAACTGAGAAATTAGGTTAGTATCATTTTCCATCCCTTATATAGAACCTTGTTCATAAGTAATGTCTGGTTGGCAATATTCTCAATAGAATTGATATAAATTTGTTGTTTATAAGGTAATGTACAAGAAATTGGATTCCGTCATATATACTACCAGCATTTATTCGGTTCTTTGTGGGTTTGTTAAAAGATGCACTTAAAAAAATTCATCTCTTGAATTACATCTTAATATTAAGACTGCACTTAATTCAATGTTTTTAGCCTCAGGAAGTTTAAATAATTTTTTTTTTATTCTGACGACATGCTATAAAAGGGAAGTATGAAGTGTTTTCACATTTAAGATTACATTTATTTGTTTACGTCTTCCATGGCACGTTGCAGTCTTTTTGAGTGAAATATGTTTGAGTTCTAAAAATGTAAAGAAAGAAAGAGAAAAAAAATGCAAATTATTATATGATTCAAGTAGCTTCATTAGTCTATCCGAGCGGCCATTTCTTATCGTAAGTTATATTTTCAGCACTTCTATATCCATTCAAACAGAAGTGAAGAAAACTTTAAAAAAAAAAGTAAGTTCAAGACAACTTACAAACTACAATGTGGTAGGTTTTACTCTCTCTCTCTCTCTGTGAATTTAAGATCTACATAGTAGTAATAGTTAAGGATACACTATCAACTTTCATATATATATATATTTACAAGCATTTACTTCTTTACATTGCTTAACATTTGTTTCAATTAAATATGGAGAGTGGTCATCACGAACAGCAAGGGCAACCTTGAAAATTGAGCCTATATAATAAGCTTGGAATCAATATGTTGCGTAATCCTAGGCCACTACCTTAATTTTTCCAGACCTCTAGTGTCTGGACTCGTTTCACCGAATGTGAGGTAACTGCCAAAAGCATCCCATATATGTCGATTGATTTATCATGGTGGACGGAGTTATCGTCTACTAAACTGATATCAACCTGAATTGCACTAACATAAGGCAGCACAAGTCTTAGGATGTGGTCAGTGTAATGTGTAGCGGAATGCTGTTATTTGTGTACTGATTCTCCACAAGAATGGAACACAGTGATGCCTTCTTTGAAGTCTAGTCATGATTCATGAAATATTGTGAACAGTTTAAGCTATATAATTCATCTTGAATCGCATTTGAGACAAGTCTGAGGGAGTTTGCCAGATTAATAGCAGAGGTTTAATGACCAGTTCTAAGAATTCTTTAATGAAAGTAAAGAACAATATACAGCAATATCTCAACCACATTGTTTTCTGGTGCTGACGAGGCCCTCCAGGACTCATCGGGCATGCTGGGATAAGATGTAGTGGTTTTTGTTTACTTGTAATTTCACTTCAATCCCAGTAAGAGAACTGGCGGGCCAGCGGAGGTTTGCACCCTCTCTTTGGCCAGGGTTAATTTTCAGTTTCTATAAAACTACTATTGGTTGAAACAATATTTATATTAAGGAATTGCAAGAACAATTGTTATGGTGTAAACTAGATTAATTTGGTAATGTGTAATATTTTATCAATTTTCTATGAATTATTTACAAATAAGAATAAATATAAGGATTAACAACAATATTCCAATCACTTGACTGATCATTAAATGTCCGATTTCCTTAACATTGAATGAAATGGATGACAAACATTATAACAGTGGCATTTTCTTTGTGACATTTTTGTCATAAGTACTATATCGCAGTTATCCTATGTTTTGCGCAGTTCTTACAATAAAGTGATACCTTTTTAATAAACTGGTTAAAATCTACCGAGTTCTTAAGTGATACTTAAAGGGCATTCAAGGAGTGGTGTTGAAAACCAAATAAGGTTAAGTATGTGAATATTTTATCGATTAATTAGTACCCGAAGATCATCATATAAATTGATTTTGTACAAATAATTTATACATAAATCATTCTATACGATCTGCATTTCATTCAAACGACATTATATTAAATAAATTTTAATTTTTTTCGTGCATGCTATGCATATGCCAGTGGCGTAGGGAGCGAGGGGTCGGCCCTCAGACTTTTCAATCTATCCCAGCATCAAAACTATAAAAAATTAATCTCGTGAAAAGCACGAGAATGCTTAAAATTTAAGTAGCGTTTTCTATTTTAATTATTTTATTAAAAAACAATTAAAGAGAACTGAAAATCCCAACTACATTGTGATTACTAGATTGTTTCACTGCTATGTCCAAAATGGCGGTGTTTACTCTTCGACTTGCCGGTAATGTGTGTGTGACGTCACGCGCATGAAGCCTACACTTTTATCTACCTCCCCTCCCCACGTACTTTAGCTGCGGGTGCGTTATAAAAGTGTCAGTCAATCCATTATCGTGGATGATAGGGTGGTGCTCACTGGCTGCCTTTCTTCCGGTTAGTAGTTCAAAATTAGGGACAGCAGAAGATAGCGTTAGTAGCTTTGCCAAAAATAAAAAATACAATGCTACCAATTTCTAGTTATACGAATGTACTAGTATAATTACATCATTATTAGCTGACATAATGTACCAAGTACGAATTATAAGCTCTGTTATGCTTATCTCGAAAGGAGTGTTTCTTCTAAGAGTTATCGATCTGTTTACTATTCGCTGTTTGTTTTGCAACGTGATCAATCGATTTTCCGATATAGCGTTATGGACAGCACCACGAATGAAGTTGTTATCGAGAGTTTTGTGGTATTTATGATGA